ATTTCAGAGAAAATTACGTCCAGCAATTGATTCACGTTATTTTTTGAAACTGATAGACGCTAAAAACGTTCATGTAGACCTTGCTTATGTATTATAGGTAAGTTCAAATCCTAGCCTGGACAAGAAGCATGTCATCGTACTCTTCGACGATAATTCCGACGCGGACAAAACCGTCGTAGTACGCTGCATGAAGGATTCCACCATCTCGCCACAGAAGCCCAGATTGGATGGGTCGTCTAGAAGAGAAGAAAAGGGAAATGCATGGATTTGCGATGTTCAGAGAACTCACGTGCAACGATAGCACTGTAAACATTCAAAGGTTGAATCCTCCATATGAGTGCTAAGACTGTAGTGGAATACTCCATTTTCGAGAAGAAATGAGAGAAGAAGCTAAAAATGCCATGTTTGGGGATAAATAGCAACACTTGTTAGGTGGTGCTCCCCATCAACCTATTCATACGTCGTTCTTTCCGTGTCGTTCCACGTTGAGCGATCGAATAGGAGCTGGTAATCGCAATATACGATGTTCTGGAGCCACACCACCTTCAACGAGGTACGACTGATGGAGCAGACAGCAGTAGTATTCCCCATGCACAAGGAAGTGATCTGCAGCAGGGGGGACGATATTCCCAGAAATCACACAAAATATGTCCAAAAATTCCCTAACCTCCCCCTTCTACCGCTTGTATTCCCGTCACAGTGTCTTTGCCGCCAAAAACAATTACCACTGTACCACGTATTGGTAGTCCCGTATTCTGTGAACGTTCTAGCTCCATCGGATGGAACACCTCCACGTCACCACCACATCCTGAAAAATTAAAATTTTTACGCAATTCAACCGAGTTCAAATTCGTTTTCAGAATGTGTATATATTGTGATGGTATCTGCCAATGGTTACAGGTAATACTTCATTGAGGCGCATGTCAGCTGTTCTGGAACAACTGTTGGACGATGTGACTATAAGTAATTGGCTTATGAGAAGGAACGGTGCCGCTGTCCCATTTCACTTGACGAAAATCCATCATGTTTAAGATAATGTGGTACTTTGGAACTTATGGTAAGCTGAAGAACTCAATAGGTATAAACGCCATAAATTGTCCCGAACTCATTCATTGGGCGCTCATTTGACTTTGTCAGCAATTCGGTGCTGGATAATACATTTCAATATGTCTCAGAACCACCTGCATGCACATTAGCGAGACTAACAGAAAAAACAAATACAATCAATTTTGTGGGGTGCTATACAAGGCATCTTGTAGGCGGAAACGACAAGGCTCGAAAACATTACATTCAGCTTCTTCCTTTTTTAAGGGACTGGGATTACCGTTCCATTCACTGAGAAAAACGAACTTGCCCGAAAATAGTGCATGAACTATTTGCTAGCTTATGAGTTGAACAGCTTTCACCTATAAGTTGCGAAATGCCCTTTTCGTGCCTCAATTTAAATCCTAACTCCCATATGGAAAATATTTTTAACTATTCTGTTAATTGTTAATCAAGCAAGATTTTTCTTTGTTGGCAGTGTCATGTTACCAAAGTTACAAATCATATTTTTCCCTAAGAAAGTTTGATTTTGGTAATCCTATTTTTTTTTGGCTGATCATCAGAATCCATCGGCACGTTTCAGTGGAAATACGCATTTGAACATAAGTGTAATGTACATTTTTGGATCTCTTCCAGCCCTTAATCTCTTCACACTCTCTTTCTTCTTTTAACTGAATTACAATAGAAGTAAGCACAACTCGAGCACAACTTTGGAGGTTGGAAAAGAGCTATACGGACACCTTTCTTGAGATTCCAGGGAATGAATTTAC